AAAAAAAAAAAAAAAAAAAAAAAAAAAAAAAGGATTTGTAAAAGAAAAAAGATTGTGACGAAAGCTGTCGGCGATAAAATCATTATCTAATCGGCAGTAAAGCAATTTACGAAGATAATGAAGTTTGTACCTGATTCTTTCTTGTTGCTAAGCTACTTTTTTGGAAACAATGTCAAGTTCTAATTTCAATTTGCCGGAAGATCTCAATGTTAAAGGTAAAAAAAAAAAAGGAAGCCAAATCAGCAAGCTATAAAACAGTTTTTTATCAATAGACTTTTGGTCTCTACCAATGTCAGACTGGAAGAATATTACCAAATACGACTTTAGATACCTAGTTGGATCTTTAGAAATCTCTAAAGAGAAAGCGCACCTTGCATATTCTGATGATATAAAAAAATTGCAGAAAAATGTGAAAAAGAATTCAAATAAATGGCAAGTTCTTGAAGCATGCAAGGCTGGGCTACAGGTAAAGTAGAATATCGACCTGTCTAATCAATTCCAATTCTAATATATAGCAGAATGCCCAAAAGAACCATGCAAATAGATTCTTCTGGGAAAACGAGGCAAAGCGCGTAGTGGAGATCGCGTCATCAGGATTAGCCGTTGATGTAGGAGGATGTCCTTTGACAGTTTGCTGGTACCCGTTCATAATTAACAATATGTCATAATAGGAAGAATTATTACAATTGGAGAAAGTAACGGCTATTACGGCGCTAAAATCATTCAATAATATGGAGAATGCAAAACGAGAAGAGAGTGAAAGAAAGGTAACAATTACGCAAATTTGTTAGTGCTTCGCATTAAAATCACCCTTTCTGTAGAAAGAGAAAAGAAAGGCAACCACTCAGAATGAGCAGGTATGAGTACAAACGTGAATACGTAAGTTTATTTGCATACTTACTATATAAAGCGATAGGCATCATGCAAAAAACAGGATTCGAAACCAGAAAAGCCCACTTTTAAACAACTTTTCGAATCCTTCCAACGTCAAGCATTATTTCAAGCGTCTGTTAATGATGGTCTATGCATGGAGACCCATATGTATGAATTATTGTAAATACACTATCCGATGATAATGCTCGTTGTTTCGTCAGCTTATTTTCTTGTTAGGTCGTTGCAGGACATTATTTTGCTAAAACAGTCCCAATATTCACCTTCTGTACGAAACCATTTCGGTGAAGAGCTCCTACAAACCCTTTACGATGAATTGCGAACTTCACTCTATGACAAGACTAAAAAGTTTGGAGAAGAGATATCTCTAGTACAAGACATCATATATGTATGTTTATTCATCACTAATTTACACTATCTGCATTTTCTAATTGTAGTGTTTTATATAAGAATTACATCCAGGAGGTTACGGACAAAACAAAGAAGAATGGATCGAAGATGAACTGTGCAAGAAAGCTGATTGCTTTGACTGCTAACCGTCCAGAAGCAGAAGCTAATATTCTTTTTGGCATAGCGGCATTGTAGGTTTCTGCATTCATAAGAAATTTCAACGTATCTGTAGTAATGTTGCTTTGAATAGAATTCAAAAACTCCCAGTACGAACCATGATTGAAGGCACAGTTCAAGGTGAGGCGGAGTTATGGAGTGGGATATTTGATCCGATTCTTTCATCAATTCTATCTGATCCTGAAAATGACGTTTTGTTGAGATGGTAACGCCAAAGAATCATTTTTTTTATTTTGTTGCTAAATATTAATGGTTCGGTTGTATCTAGGTCAAATGTTTTGCCAACAGAGGCTTCGTCAAGCAGCAGTAATCAGGTTCGTCCTGATGCTATGGTTTGCGAGATTGACCAATTAAGTTGGGGAAAATCGCTAGGTTTTGGCGAAGTCAAACTTGCCGATGTAACTCCCAATTTAAATGAATTAGGTCATGATTTGTTAAGGCTGGCAACTCTCAGCAAAAGCGCGTTGTCAAAATCAGGTTTGCACGCTTCGATGAGTTTTCAAATTCATGGTAATTTGTTTTTGTATTCATAATATATATAGCTCACGCGTTTTATTACTTACCTTTCATGACAGGTTATCGTATTAAAATATACATGTCAAAACTTATTCCTGGAACAGGTATTACAGCAATGTTAGAAGTCCTGTCCTTGGAATTTCCAAAAAGCGTTCATCAACTAGATGCCTTCACTACTCGAAGAAACTTTGATAATCTTGTGCATCTGTATGACATGTTTTGGAATAATTGCTTGAGCCAGCAGAAAGCGGAGACTGTTACCACTTCAAATGTATTGGAACTTTCTACGTTAAATGCAATTAGGCAATCAACCAGAGATCGAACACGACTAAATCATTTACAATATTGAAATTATCATATATCATTTTCTATTTGTTTCATCTTATATACAAATGAACTTCATAATTCAAAAATCATATCTGATGCATTATTATCCATATCAAAATTATATTATTCATATATTATTATACTATGCATACATATACGCCTTGGCTACTTTGTTTAACACTTTCTGAAAAATACTATTTATTCTAATCATGGTTTAGGGATTATGTTGGAGTATGAGTAGTTTGCGATGGCTTAACTCTCTTTTATCTGTTCAGCTCCCGTCAGAATGAATAGTAATCTAATAGACCTTAACTATTGATCTTCTGTATTAATGATCACCAAATTAATGATTACACAATTATTCACATTAAAACTTTGAAAAAAGTAGTATGACTATTTATACGAATGATAATGAAGTATTGAATGCATTATACGAAAGCTAGGAGATATTGGTCATTTCCCGCACTCCTTCTTCCTTGATACAGGTTTCCACTCCAGAAGATGAAGAATCACTGTTAAAAAATTGTGTTTCCTTTATTGATATTATTCAAATATAGAAAGAATCAAGAATAGGTCTGAATATAAGATGCTCAGAGCGATTGTAGACGATTTTCAAATGACAATCACAAAGACAACGTATACCAACAACTTCTCCTACAGTGGGTTTACGCCTTCTTATTCCAGCAGACTTCCATATGACGATCAAGATACAGTCATTCAGTCTCTAAAGAGTGAAATCAGAAGCTTCAAAGGAACCTTGCTCAGTAGACGCAATTTCCCTACAATATCCACTTCACCAGTAACATCAAATGTACCTTCACCTATAGTAACCACAACTACAGAGCCATCTGCATCTGTCCCTGATACATATCATCCTAGACGAAAGAGATCATTTAGATCTGAGCTACCTTCTTCAATACAAGTAGAAAAGCCAGAAGATTGACCAAGATAAATAAAAAAAAAAAACATTTAAAAAGAAGTCTATATTACTAATGCGTAAAAAACAAAAAAACAAAACAAAAAGTACAAACAAATATACATGAGACAATTAAATTATGGATATCTTATTGTTCTCCGGCTTGGTTTATGAGCAGAAATGGCTTTATGTCGTTTATTATAGAAAACAATTGGTTCATACAAAAAAAAAAAAAGACGGCTACTCTTCAACTTCATCAGATTCAATTAATAAGACGTTATCAGCAGGATCTGGGAAGAGAACAATAAGATACCCTAAAAGAGAATGGCACTTAGCTTGTTGGAAGAATAATCCGCTTTGGGCACGGTCCATAACGACATCGTCCCACATGCCTACTATTTTAAGATGGGCCCCGTCACCCAAGGTGTGATCCCTAAGAAAAACGTTCTGGACTTGAAACCTGGTATCTAATTTTTAAAAGCCACAAATGTCTAAAATTTTGATGACGATAAAAAAGCAGTTTATTTCTTTTTGTTAAGCCTACAATTGCCTGATCCCTAGATGTATTTTTTCCCTTGGAAATACTTTCTCTAGCAGTAGGGCAATTGCAGCAACTGTCTAATCCCTAGATGTGCCGTATTACCTTTACTGGGTCTTCTTTCTCTAGTAGTAGGACAGTTTAGTTATGTTTGAATCGTTACAACGTACAAACCCTAGATGTACCGTATTTCCTTAGGTCCACTTTCTCTACCAGTAGGGCAATTGCCTGATCCGTAGATGTATCATCTTTCCTAGGACTACTTTCTCTAGCAGTAATATGTTGTAACAATAGTCTGAACCCTGGATGTACCGTATTTCCTTTACTGGGTCTTCTTTCTCCAGCAGTAGGGCTATTTGGATCTGGGGGATAAACATAACCATTTTTTTTTTTTGGGAGTAGAAATGTCTTTACCTTCTCGTGGTTACTCCTGTCAGTAAAAGCGTGCTGCTTTGAAGCCAAAAAAGACATTTTATTTTAAATAAAATGTACTTTGACTATTATGTCTTATCCGGATTTTGACTTTCACTTGTGTCATTCGATTTTTGCTAATGAATTTGTCATATTCCCTCATTAAGATAATGTTGGTGATTATACACATTTACGGAAATATGAACAATTACTGCCATTACGTAAAGCCAACAGATGTAACAATAAACAGTTCTTTTTTCTCCCCTCATATCACACTTGTAGACATGGCAACAGAAAAGCTAGCTAAGTGAGAATAAACTCGAGTAAAAGCATGAGAGTTGTTTGAAGATAATTGATGCGTATGCGAACTCTTACGCGGACGTTTGTTAAATCAAAAGCAGAAATAACATATAAAAAAGAAGTAACAGGTCAAGTGGCGATTCGATTTCATCCACGATGGATACGAACATGTGGTGCAAGTAACAGGCACTCCGTTGCCCAAAACATACAGCTCGCAGAGTGAATATATGGTTTGCTAGTCGGTTGGAAAGTATCCTGGAGTCCCTTAAGTTGCACTCCAGTTACAGCAAAGATCACCACCAATGGTTTGCTCCCATATCGATCGTATATCTTCAGGCAGTAGCGGATAACGCGTTGCAAAAACACCTCAGTGACAACTTATTGTACTTCCATCAGGATTGGAGGATAGTTGCAGTGCTCATGCGGGATAAATAGCACGTATGAACGGCTATCGTCTTTCCATTCCACGTTACTGGTGGTGTACGTTGTGGGCTCCAACCTTCAACAACAGCCTTCTTCAAGCTTTCAGCATTTCTGTTGAGTTCAGATCTGGGCTTTGAGTTGGCCACCCTTCCAAAACGTCAAGTGAATGGCTAGCCTTCCACTACTTGACATAGGAGCTTGTATGGCAAGGCGCATTATCCTCCTGGAAGATGTACTTTCTGTCTTCAGAACTGGGCAGCTCATTGTACCAGGTGAGAAGGTTTTGCAACAATCAATCGATATATAAATCTCGGTTCATATTGCCGTCAATAAAAACTAACGGGCCATATCCCCAGTCCAAAAACAAGACGAAATCATAACACTGCCTCCACCAAACTTGACAGCCCACAAAAGGTGGTAGCTCTCGTAGCGTTCACCATGTTTCTTCAAGGCTTTTGGCTTACCGTCATTGCCAAACGCTTGGAATCTTTGATTCGTCGGATCAGATCACCTGTCTCATTGATCATTGGTCCAGTGAACATAACTTTTGGCCTATTCAAAACGTTTTCTCTTCTGTCTCTCAGTCAAATTGGGGTTGCCTGCTAGATAATGGTACTTAAAGTCCAACTGCTTTATCCATCCCTTTGCAGCGGAGCGACAAACAGCTTTGTTCATTAGGCGGAGTTCACCTCTAAGGCTGTCAATTGTTTGAAACGGATCTCTTCTGATTACTCGTTTCAAATGTCGTCGAGTGTATTCGTCGAAGGCAGAGGGTCTACCTGTACTCTTTCATGACAAAGCTGTGCCAATGGAAGCCACTTTGTCGGTAGCAGCTTACAAAGTTGTACGCTTCAAGTCAATCATTGTCGAAATGTCATACTGGCTGAATCCAAGCTACTTTAAATAGAATGTAGCATTCAGTTTCATTTTCTCTACTCCTTGTTCTGTTTCCTGAGGATCCCACAATCTTTTAATGCTAATTTCGCGGGTTTTGGTCATTGTATGAAGAAAAAAAAACAGCTTGATATAAAAGTGATGGACGAAGCATTAGTAACCCCGACTGTAATTCTCGTGGATTTCCCCATGCGCGTAATGTACACCTTAATTTTTGTATTTGTCTATTATCTTTTGTATCTCTATCTTTCAATAGCTCACCATTGATTTCAAGTGACTATGTACTTTATTTTTAAACAAATTTTTGTTAAAAACGTCCCTACAAAAAGAGCCCCTAAGTTGCTTCGTGTTTAAGGAGAAGATAATATAAAAGTTAATTTTTGATCCTTTATTTTTGTTACTGTAGATACAAGAGTGCTCATAATGAATTTAGAAAGCTTAAACGATGGTAAACCATCTATACACACTGATTATGCACAATTGCTAATATACACTAATTACATTTAGAAATCGCGTCTGAATTGTTAAACTTGGCGGGAGATACAAAGCAAATTCAGTGGCACGGTTTCTTAGAAAAAATGTCGCAGTGCATTATCAGTAAATACAAAGCCGGCTCAAAAGACGAATATCGAAAAAGTTGGAGAAAAGCTTTTAAGGAGAATTCAAAGAGATTAGGGCTCAAAGTTGTCCGTGATACTTCTCATAGTGATATCTGGGCAGAAAAGATTGCTGCTGAATTAAAACCCTCTATAGTCGACACGGCCAGTAGCTCTGTTGGTAATTCAACATCCTCATTACAATATCAAAGAATTTTAACTGAAAAAGACAAGACTTTGATGAAGCATATGTATGACAAAATCAGTGAAAAATGGGCTTTGAAGGAGGGTGTTATTGTAGAGGATGTAATTTATAATGAAGCGAAAGACTATTATGTTGAACAGTAAGTATCTAATTAAGTAGTAACAGATATAATTTTACTAACCATTGTAATAGCCCTTTACATTCTTATATTTTGCATATCAATGACAACAAATTAGTTGATATGTTTAAGCCAGAGGAAATCGAAGAAATTGAAAAAGAAAGCGGGAAAGCCGATTTAGTGAAGGCTTTACCAGAACCACTGGCCACTATGCTGATGAATTTAGACGAAAAGGTAAACTCGGATAGTCTTTTTTACTTATACTCTGGAATCTTACTGTTTGTTTAGAATGACTTTGACTCAATCAACGAAGCATTTCAGGACATTTCTTGCAACCGCCGACAGCAACCAGAAGAATATTGGTGTCGCGAAAGTGTTTTGAATTATCTGAATCTATTTATTGATAAAGACAGTGTTGCCAGTTTTTCAACTGAGCAAGATCTCTTACAGGATATGTATGGGTTCATCAAGGCAACAAAACATATCAGCAAAACTACTTCTGAGACGTGAGTTTTGATGCTATATTTGTGTTTCTAAATCCTAAAATACTTTTTCTGTAGCGGCTCTGGCAGCTCTGCCTCAAGTTATAACAGGAACATGAGAAGGGTACTTGGATCAGTTGATAGAATAGAACGTCAGATGGTTGCAGAACGTTCAGATCTCATTTTCAAACACCTTTCATCTGAATTAGGCTGTGTTGAAATTGGTTTGGTAGACCATGGCCCAACTGGCACCAAGGAACTTCAGGAGTCAAAATTAAAAACTCCTAAAATGATGAGAAGTTTTTGTTCCCAAATTGTAGAACAATATAAAATTAGAGCCAACAAAGTTAAAATTGTTTCTATTATTATAAATGGTAAGATGATATCAGTAAACTTTGCTCAAAAATTTACATTACTCACTGTTTTTAATGGAAGGCCCATACATCACAGCAGAAATAATGACGTTCAATCAAGGTTCAATTGGACTGTTGTACACCTCCCCTCGCCTCAAGATGCCCGAGAGTATAGACGAAGTGCCACGTCTTCTTCCTCCTGTCTTGACTTTAGTATACAATTGTACCCAAGTGATCAAGAATACTGCGCAATTCCTGAGAAAGAATGCTGCTTCAGTTAATTTAAGCCCTTTCAGCAACATAAACTACTTCTTTCCTCCTAGCTTTGTTTCTGAAAGTAATAACTCATCTAAGAAAAGAAAGACTCATCATCATAGACAATAGGTGTGTTCTGTTATGTCTATTTACTTTTCTTCCCATGTGTCTCGATCTCATTGGTACCATAAGTATATATACTATATACTACTTCTCTTATGCTATATGTACGATGCTGTTTATTGTTATCATTATGTTTATTTTCTAACAGTCTTTTACTGTACTTTTTTTTTTTTTTCATATGCCATAAATGTCTTTTAAAAATAACTTGGAGAGAAAGGTTTTTCAAATTTGGAAACAATTCTATTATTTTGAGCAGTGATGCCACAGACCAGAGTTTGTTTCTAGCAAAGGAGAGCGTAACAACCTGCATATCAAGAACATGTTAATGCATATCCTTTCATTTTTATAGACAAA